ACCTGTCCCTTTATTTCTTGAGGTCAGCCAAGACTGATGGGAATTTGCAAAAGGAGGTATATTAAGAGACTTAGGAAATTTAAGTGAATATTAACTAAACTTACTGTGATAATTGTTTTGCAATATGTAAATAAATCACTGTGTTGTAGGGCTTCCCTGGCCTGGTGCTCAGTGGTAAAGAATCTGCCTGCCAATGCAGAAGACACTGGTTCAATCCCTGGTCAGGGAGAATCCCATATGCTGTGGAGTAACTAAGCCCTTGCACTACAACTACTGAGGTCCGCGTGCCCTAGAGCCCCTGTTCTGCAACAAGAGAAGCCACGCCAACAAGAAGCCCATGTACTGCAACAAAGAGTAGCCCCCTGCTTGCCACAACTAAATAAAAGCCCATGCAGCAACGAAGATGCAGCACAGCCAAAGAAAAATAAGTAAAATTATTTTTTTAAAAATCATTGTTGGGATCAAACCCATGCCCCCTGCAGTGGAAGTGCAGAGTCTCAACCACTGGACCTCTAGGGAAATCCCTCAACTTTTTAAAAAATTCAGAATGAAAAGAGATTTAGGGAAAATCAAAAAGAAATAAATCACAAAATAAACATTAATAAATTTGTATTGTCTGTGGTAGCAACTGTATTGTCTATCACAGCAGTAGGTGGTCTGAGGGCAGACCATCTGAGTTCAACATCCTGGCTCTACTACTTTATTAGCTTATCATGAGCAAGTTACTTGTCTGTTTCGTTTTCCTCACATGTAAGATAGTAATAGTACTTGTCTATTGAGCTATTTTCTTTTTTTTTTTAAGTTGAAATATTTATATTTTCTCTTTTTACAGGTATATTTTATTTATATTTTTAATTTTTTAATTTTTTTTCATTTATTTTTGTTAGTTGGAGGCTAATTACTTTACAACATTGCAATGGTTTTTGTCATACATTGAAATGAATTAGCCATGGATTTAGAGCTATTTTCATCATTAAAGGCGGTGACTGATCCACGCATAGTGCAGTGCTCGGTCAATAGTAAGTGCTTGACAAATATTAACCAAGAGAAAACAACAACAGCAACAAAGCACTCCTACTTACCCTTTCCTTAGTTCTTCTGACTTCATTTTTTGGTGAGCTGATCCCTCTGCTTCCTCTTCACTGCTTAATTCCCACTTAGGATTCCACTTACATGGCTTCCCCACTTAACCACCAGGTTAGTTGCTGCTCCTAAAAGTCTAGTCAAGGCTATGGTTTTTCCAGTGGTCATGTATGGATATGAGAGTTGCACTATAAAGAAAGCTAAGCGCAGAAGAATTGATGCTTTTGAACTGTGGTGTTGGAGAAGACTCTTGAGAGTCCCTTGGACTGCAAGGAGATCCAACCAGTCCATCCTAAAGGAGGTCAGCCCTGGGTGTTCATTGGAAGGACTGATATTGAAGCTGAAACTCCAATACTTTGGCCACCTGATGCGAAGAGTTGACTCATTTGAAAAGACCCTGATGCTGGGAAAGATTGAAGGCAGGAGGAGAAGGGGACAACAGAGGATAAGATGATTGGATGGCATCACCGACTCAATGAACATGGGTTTGGGTGGACTCCGGGAGTTGGTGATGGACAGGCAGGCCTCGTGTGCTGCGGTTCATGGGGTTGCAAAGAGTCGGACACGACTGAGTGACTGAACTGAACTGAACTGAAAAAGCTCCCAGCTAAAAGCTCTTATGATATCCCTGTAATGCAGCCCTCAGCCTAGCCTATGGTAACTGTGTGTTTGCCTTCTTCACCAGAGTGTGAGCTTTCCAGGACAGAGGCTATGCCTTTGTAGCTCTCTATTCCCCACACCTGGCACATGGCAGAGCACTCAGGCTCCAAGACACTCCCTGCCTAGAATCTCCTCCACTTCCTGACACTGGGTTCTGGGACCCTCTGGGTCTGCATTTCCCCTTCTGGTCCTCAGCCACCTGCCATGCTGCAGCGCCTCTATCAGCATGCCTCCCAGCTGGGCCTCAGGGCCCCTCCACAGAACCCCCTCCTCTCCAGGGCCTGGCTGCCTGCACCCTTACCCCATCCTGCAGGACACTTTACACCTCTGGTTGAGCTGCAGACCCACTTCTCACTCCATTTGCCTCAGCTTAGACAGCCTCCGCAGCAGGAGGATCTCAGGACCAGCCCAGCTTCCCAGCAAAGCTTGGCTTCTTCCAGAGTGTTTTCTAGTATCTGACAGAGATACCATCTTCCTGGGACACTGTTTTACAGTCAAGCTTTCCTCGGGAACCGAGGCAAGGACGTCTTTTTCCATTTCTGTGTGTTTGAGGACCCTTAATGACTGCTCCCTGCAGCTTCATGTTTGTACATGTAGCTCTTGGCTTGTTCACAGAAGGGGCAAAGCACAAAACACCCATGAGGAGGTGGTCACTTGCCTGGACTTCCATGGAGCCCTCAAGGCCAGGGCTGGCACTGCCAAGGGACCTGGAGTGCCTGGAGGGCCTGTCCATCCACCCCACCCCCCAACCATCTACCATTTCTCCCCAAGCCTGGTAGAGGAACATTCAACTCTGAATGAGGCTGGGAGAGGGTTCAATAGAGAAGGGAGAAGAAAGGACATGCAGTCAGTGCTTAGACAGTGTGGAAAGAATAGGGCTGGAACTCTGCTGGAGCTCCCGGTGAGCTAGATCATTGTGATGTTGGCTATGCCTCCTGTATCATCCTTGTGCATTTCCACCATGTGCACTTTTCCCTGGGAAAAGGCCAAGCTGTTTCCAGCATGCTAAGTGGTTTGAGCAAGCGAAAGGCTTGAAGTGGGGGGTTCAGTGCTCAAGAAGGCAGAGGATTCCCCCCCGGGGACCAGTGTGGAATAGATGATTAGAATCAGGATAGAGTAAATAGGGAGGAGTGAGAATGCCGAGCTTAACTTGAAAGCCCACTCCCCACTGACTGCCCCCCACTCCCAGGTCTCCTCAAGCTCTCTTTGCAGAAGTTGAGTGTGGCTGCTGCAAGAAAATTTGCATGGGTGACACCAGACATGGTCACTTTCCCAGGGCTCTTGGGGGAAGATTTCATGGACTTTCCTAATCTTTTGCAGCATAACACTGTCAGTCCAGCAGATAACAAAGGAACCTGATTACAGGCTGGGATGTTTTCTCCTGCAGGTGCTGCAGTGATGTGGTCAGGGTGGAGGTCACGTCTATGATGGGGTAGTCTACAGCCACCAGAAGGCTCTGCAGGTTGAAAGGCCTCACTTCCAAGGTGATGGGCAACTGAAGGTACCTGGAAGTTATAGTCTGAGAGGGAGATCTGCCAACCCTCCCCATCCCCAGAAAAAGTGGGGAGATGGCACTGCGGTGGTGGGAAGTTTGGCAGCTGGAGGGGGGAGAATCGCTGCAGTGATGGGAATCCCTGCATGGAGTGGACTGAAGTGGTCACACTAGCTGAAGACACCTGCAGGATGGGGGAGGTTTCTGCAGTGATGAAGGAGCACTCTGCAAAGGAAAGGGTCGGGCTTTTGGGAGGGGGGTCCTATGGTGATGCGGCCCTGGGGTTCGCTGCAGTGATAAGGGTCTCTGCAGTGATGAAAAGTTGAGCCATTGTGGGGGTGAGGGGTGAAGAGGGTAGAGGTGGGATAATCGGGGTGGCTGGAGTTGCTGCAGTGCTGGTTTGGGGGCCTGCAGACTGAGCCCTTCTGCCGCACCTGCAAAACGCCTCATTTCCTGAAGGATGGAAAGGGCGGGGCCTCAAAGGCCCAGGTCTCGCACTGATGCTGGGCTGTGCGGCGGAAGGAACGCGGCTCCTGCACTGCGGTGCCGGGTCTGGCTGGCTGGAGCGGCAGGGGCTGGAGCGGCCGGGGCTGGCGCGGAGGCGGTACCGCGCCCGAAGGGGGCGGGGAGCAGCAGCCCCGCCGCAGCGGCGGGCGGGGCCGAGGCCGGCTGGAGGGGCGGCCTTCCGAGCGGAGGCGGGACCCGCACCCTTAGAGCCGACGCCCCTGTGCGGACCCAGAGCGGCCTCAGCGGGAGTCCAGAGCGGGAGCCCCGCAGGTGTCCAGATTGAAGGCAGCACCACCCACCCCGGTCCTGTCGCGCCGCCCAGAACTCCGCAGAGGACGCGACGGTGAGGCTGAGGCTGCCCGCGGGGAGGGGGACGATCCCTAGACCCAGCCCGTAGCATCCCCTGAAGGTTCGGCTGTGGGGGCAGCGGCGACTGCAGCGCCCCCCCCCCAACCCCCATCCCAAATCAGTTCTACCAGGATGGGGAGAGGTGCCCTGGACAGATCCTACGGAATCCCCCGGTCACCTCTCCCGCTCTTGCCTTCGTAAGACCCCTTCCTTTCCCTTCCCACTTTGTTCTTCCCAACCGAACCCCCTCCACTCCGGCCTGCAGCCGGTCTCAGCGCCCCTCTCAGCTGAGGCGCCAGAGAAAGACTGCAGCCCTTTGGCTCCCATCACACTCCGCCCCTGCTAACCTTTGCTGGGCTAGGTGCACCCAGAAGGATGCTGGCCCTTTAAACCCTTGCTCCCCACCCAGAGCATCTTCCGTCTCTCCACCCGCGCCGCTTCCAACAGCTGGCAGCCGCGGGGAGCCCCGGGGGGCCGGCAGGTACTGGGGTGGCGGCGAGGCCCGGGAGGGGGTAATGGAACAACTGTGACACTCCACTCCCCCCACCCCCGCCGCCCCTCCAGGAGCCGGTGAAGGGACTGCTGGGCGCCCCGAGCTCCAGTTAAACATTAACCCTCCGCTCCCCGGTCCCCGTGCTGCCTGCAGCTGCGCTCCTCCCGGGCTTCCCAGGTAACGGGCGAGGATGCCCATCTCGCCACCACCCCCACCCCCCACCCCAGGTCTCCCTCCCCTTGCCACCTGTCCTCCAGCTCGAGCCCCAGGGCTCAGCCTCTCGCCCCCTGCAGGTCCCCGTCCCCGTCCCCGTGCCGGAGTTAAAAATCTCCCCGCCGGCTTTCAGGAGGGTGGGGCCGGGCGCCCCAAACTCACCCGGCGCACCCCTCATAGAGCGCCCCCTCCCCCAAGGGCACCATGCCCGGCCTGTACTGCCCCTCCAGCTGGACGCCGCTGCCCCTCACGGATTCCTGGGTCCGGGCCTGCGCCAACGGACCCTGCCTCAGCCTGCGGGCCCGGCTCACCTACCACAACCCGCAGCCGCAACCGGTGGACGGTGAGGCCCGGGAGGGGGGCGTGGGGTGGTGGGCAGGGCCGGCCTGGCAAGGTCCGACATCGCCTGTGCCCTCATCCCGCCCCAGGCGTGTTCGTGTATCCGCTGGCCGAGGCTGAAGTGGTTTCGGGCTTCGAGGCGGAGGCCGCGGGACGGCGGGTCTCCTTCCAGCTGCAGAGTCGGCGCCGCTCGCAGGCTGCCTGCTGCAGCGCTCTGGGCCCCGCGCTGGGGGCCTCAACGCCCCGCCGCTGCACGCAGGGTGAGTCCCGGGCGCTCCCCGCCCCATCGCCTGAAAGCAGACGCACTGTGCATCGCATCTCTCTGCAAGCACCCGCTCTGCATCCCACCTCTCCCTGTCCCGTCCCCCCCACCCTCGTCACTGCTTTTTCATTCATTGATTCACACTTTCATTCGACCATAGAGGGCTGTGCCCCTGACGCTGACCAGGTGCTGGTGGGATGTGAACCAGGCCTGGTCCGAGGTTTGCAGCCAGGTGGACAGACACGGCAGGCAGTCCACAAGGCTCTCCCCTCTGGAGCTGTAGCTCCGGGGCCTGGGACGGGGTTTTGGTCATCTCTGAGTCCCAGCATCTCTCACAAAAAGTGGCACAAAGGGGCTCAGAAAGTGCTAGGGGAAGAGATAGAAGCCCTCCCATCTGCTAGGGTTCCTGGCTCACACTTCATTCTTTATTTATTTGTGCATTCACTTGATTCCTGCACATGGGGTTTACCATCTGGGTAAGAAGAGGGACAGAATGCAGTGGTGCTGAGAGTTGGCACAAGGCCAGCAGGTAGCTGGAGGATGAAGGGAGCTCTGGGCTGAGGCCGCAGGAATACTTCAGAGGAGGTGAAGCCAGCATCTGACTGAAAGGAAGGGTGGGATGTAGTAGGGAGGTTGAGAGGAGAGAAAAGGCACTCTGCTCAGGGGCAACGGTGTAAGCAAAGGTTCAGAAATAAGCTATACTGGGTGATGGTGATAAAATGCCTCACGTTTATAGTGATTTACGGTTTCAGTCACTGGTGTCACTTGAATCCAGAGAGGTATGTAATGCAAGTATTGTTCTCCTTCCCCCTCTAACAGATGACAAGAGTAACGGCAACAGCCTTTTACACATTGGGCGTTTCCCGTATATTGTCTCATTCTTTCCTCACCACAGTCATATAATTATGACCCCCATTTTATAAGTGAGGCCCAGGAGGGCTGTAAAGGTAGGCTGGGGCCCAACCATGTAGGGTTTTGACTTCCACCTTAGACACCTGGCCATCTTCCCTTTAGCAGCTTGATGTCACCAGTCCCCAAACAAACACCTTGGTCTAAGTAAAATGGAATACTTGGTATACAAATGTCCTCTAGCCAGCTTCCAAGTAGATTACTGTTCCTGAATTCCTCTTGGGCAGAAAATTCTGGAGCTACAGAAAAAAAAGAAAGAAAATGCTGGAGCCACAGCTAGTGGGCAGTGGGGAGTCCTCAACCCTCAACCATTCATGAGCAGGGTATTTGTGAGCAGGGAGGGTCCCAGGCAATGGGAAATGTCAATAGCATTCTGTAGGGAAATGAGGCCTATGGGTTGAACAGGCTGGAGCAGGTAAAGAAAGAGAGGCAGAGGGTATGGGTCCCCCAGGACCTTGGGGGTGGTGTGGACATCCCCCTTCTCCTCCTCAGCTCTCCATTAGCAGTGATGTCACTTCTGCCTTTCTTGATGACAGCCAGATTCTTCTGCCATCAACCTGCCTCTTCTTCTACCACCATTCATCTCATGCCCCCATCTTACATCACCAATGCATTAGCCCAGCATCCTTCCAGCCTCACAAAGTTCTCCTTGCCCAAGCTCCCTGACTCTGCCTGCTCCCACCCTGTATTCCCCCATCTCCTCTGCTTCCAGCCCCCTCTGACCCCTTTCCTCACTCATAGGTCATCTTGTCTTGGATCTGGCCCAGGCCCGGTCCACGCTGGTGCTGCCTACAGGCCTCATCGCTGCGGCCGGCACCATGACAGTGACCCTGCGGAGCAGCCGGGAGCTGCCCTCCAGGCCTGACGGGGTGCTGCACGTGGCTCTGCCCTCTGTGCTCACCCCTTTGGCCCCACCAGGCCCGTCGGGGCCCCCCAGGCCTCCGGGGCTCTGTGACGACAGGTTGGGCCTATGGTGATTCCCTTCGTCCCTCCCTCGGCTTCTCTGGGTCTAGTGCGGGTGAGGGGGCCTTGGCAAGGTGTCCTGGGGGATTGGCAGGGTGGGGAAGGGCTGAAGCCAGTCAGCCAGAGGGGTTAGGGACCCTGGTAGTGGCCAAGTGACCCTTCTCATGTTCCTTTCCAGTCCCACCAGCTGCTTTGGAGTGAGCAGCCCTCAGGGTGAAGGGCCAGCCTGGGAGGAGTTGGCTGCCCCTCGGGATGTGTTCTTGGGCCCTGCCCGTTGCCCTACCCCATATACCTTCTCCTTCGAGATGCTGGTGACTGGGCCATGCCTGCTGGCAGGTGGGTGTCCCTCCCAGGGTAGCTGACTGGGAAACAACTCAAGGCTCAGGGATGGGAGGAACACAGTACAAAAAGAAGATGGGGACCTAAGACTTAGGAACCTCTAGTTTCCCAGTGGGATCATCCCCTGGCTACTTCCACAAAACACTCACACCTGTAGGTTTAACGATGTCATTTCTTTACATTCCACTCCACTCACCAGTGAGAAGAGCAGTGCTTACAATGAGACCAGTCCAAGTGATAAAGTTGAGTTTCCTTGTGCAAAAGCTGGAGGAGGATGTTAAATCAGCAGTTGGTTGATATAGAACTGTTTGACCAGCCAGGAACACACCTGGGATTTCCCCTCCCATTCCGTGAAGGCAGGCAAACCCCCCTTGTCTATCCTATAGATAGGACTCTGAGAGATGAGCTGAATCAGTCATGATCCTGCCCCCTGCCCCCCACTATTGTCTGGGAAGGTGATATTAGTGCTCTTGGGACTGGCTTAGGATGGCGTGATCATCACCTCTTCCTGCCTCTACCTCCCTCAGGACTGGAGAGCCCCTCTCATGCTCTTCGGGCAGATGCCCCACCTCATGCCAGCTCTGCAGCCACCATCTGTGTCACACTGGCAGAGGGCCACCGCTGTGACCGGGCTTTGGAGATCCTGCTGCACCCCAGTGGTGAGAGACTGGGGCACACAGTGGGCTAGTGCTGCCTGCTTCAGGACCACCTGGGGAGCATTTTTCAATGATTTCTGGACTCAAAGCCAAAACTGAGTCATTGGTGAGGGTGGGCCCGGCAGTGCAGGGGGGCTGAGCCTGCAAAGTTCTCCCAGGATGGTGGGGCTGAGTGCTTAGGGTCTAAAGACGGGAGCTTCCCTGATGGAGCTGTGTCCCCTTTTCCCCAGAGCCCCACCAGCCCCACCTGATGCTGGAGGCTGGTAGTCTGAGCTCAGCAGAGTACGAGGCCCGGGTGAGAGCCCGCCGGGATTTCCAGAGGCTGCTGCGAAGGGACAGTGATGGGGATCGGCAGGTATAATGGCCTGGGGTACTGGCCTCACCTCTGGCTGCATTAATGCAGGAGGAGCAGGGGAGCAGGCTTAGGCTGGGATGGGCAGGAGGCCTCTACTCTCAGTGGGAGCTCTCAATAGCTGCTACCACTGAGTCAGGCTGATGAGTACTGTCACAGGAGGCCCACGAAAGTCTCCCTGGAACGTGTCTCAGAGGATGGGGCGTAGGACTGACACAGGCAGAGGACAGCCACCTGCCTCTGCCGTTGCCTTTATTCAGATGACACAAAAGGGTGCCCCGTCTGGGTGGATTGCATGGACAAAGGTCCCAGGGCTAGGTCCTGCTGCCAGCCCAGGTGGGAATTTCAGGAAGCCTGGCCCAGGATGACTGGGGGCTCCCGTGCTCAGGTGTGCTTCCTGCAGCGACGCTTCCACAAGGACATCCTGCTGAACCCTGTGCTGGTGCTGAGCTTCTGCCTGGACCTGAGCTCCAAGCCCGGACACCTGGGCACAGCTACACGGGAGCTCCTCTTCCTGCTAGATGGCAGTAGTGTGGCACACAAGGCCTGTGGGGCAGGGTGTGGGTGGGCTGGGGGTTGGGCAGGGCAGTGGGTCTAGGTGGGCTGGGGGCTGCCTCTCAAAGACACACACACACACACACACACCCCTACCTCTCTCCTTCTCATACTCACACACACATGTGTTTCTCCCAGATTCCAAGACCCACCTGCCACACATAAATTTACACTAGGTCACACCCAGTCCCAAACCCCAGGGTTCCCATGCACCTCCATAGTCACATGCCCAAATGTCTCTCACAGGAACTCAGAGTCTCCCTTGCATGCTGGGGTCTCTCTAACAGCCACACACAGGGCCTTGCCCAGATTCCCTCATCTGGCCCCTCATCCCTGGTCGATCTTGGTGCCAGTGGGGCCTGCCTCACCCTGCCCTCCCTGGCCCTCCCCAGGATGCCATCGTTTTGGCTGTGAAGTCACTCCCACCCCAGACGCTCATCAATCTTGCCATGTTTGGCATCTCGGTGCAGCCCCTCTTCCCAGAGAGCCGGCCTTGCAGTGATGTGAGTGTGACCTAGGGATTTGGGGGTCAGTAGAGACATCTCAGGGGCTTCCCAGGTGGCACAGTGGTCAAGAAGCCACCTGCGAATGCAGGAGATGCAAGGGACACAAGTTGGATCTCTGGGTTGAAAAGATCCCCTGGAGGAGGAAATGGCAACTCACTCTAATATTCTTGCCTGGGAAATCCCATGGACAGAGGAGCCTGGAGGGCTATAGTCCATAGGGCTCGCAAAGAGTCGGAAATGACTGAGTAACTGGGCAGCACACACAGAGTCCTCCCAGCCCGGTGTGCCCAGCCCAAGCCTTCTTCCCCCAGGAAGCTGTGCAGCTGATCTGTGAGAGCGTTGAGACCCTACAGGCTGCAGAAGGCACTCCAGACGTGTGGGCCGCTCTGGACTGGGCCCTGGGGCAGCCCCAGCAAAGGGCCCATCCTAGGCAGCTTTTCCTGCTCACTGCTGCCTCACCCATGGCTGCTGTGACCCACCAGACCCTGGAGCTCATGAGGTGGCACAGAGGGGCAGCCAGGTAGGATGGAGTGGGCAGAGCCAGGCTCCTGAGATTGGCCCTCCAAAGAGGGCTTCTGAGGTCACAGCTGCTCCCCTTCTCTTGTCAGGTGCTTCTCCTTTGGGTTGGGGCGTGCCTGCCGCCAGCTGCTCCAGGGTCTGTCTGCTCTCAGCAGGGGCCAGGCCTACTTTCTGAGACCTGGGGAAAGGCTGCAGCCCATGGTGAGCTTGAGCCTGGGCCCTGCTCCCTTCTCCTCAGGGTCCTTCTCCCAAGTGGCACTGAGTTTGAAACAGATCCTGGTCAGGTTGTGAGGTCTCCGGGCGCCCTGCTGTGGGGTGCTGCAGGAGGCCAAAGGTGCGGGGGACATGGCCTCTGACTACTCCCAAAATCTTGTCCTAAGTTTTGTCCCGGTACTGAGCCATATCTTTGAAAAGCCTTGCCCCATCCACATGGCACAGGCCAGGAGGATAGTTCACACCAAGCCTTGAGGACTGAATGCTCAGTCTCCTCGCTTGTTCCTACCCCCATTCTTCCTCTTGACCCAGCCTGACGCTGCCCTGCTCGCCTCAGCCAGGCACTGGGCAGATAGCGGCAGCAGAGGGTGCCTCCCCACTCCACTGGCACTGTGGCACCTCTTTCTCTCCCACGGCCTCCCTCTGGTCATTCCTCACAGCTGGTGCAGGCCCTGAGGAAGGCATTGGAGCCCGCGCTGAGCGACATCTCTGTGGACTGGTTTGTTCCTGATGCAGTGGAGGCACTGCTGACACCCCGGGAGATTCCCGCGCTCTATCCTGGGGACCAGCTTCTTGGTTACTGCTCACTCTTCAGGGTGGACGGCTTCCGGTCCCAACCCCTGGGGGTAGGCCTGGGTTGGGGGGCGGTGGGAGGTGGGCCTGGGGTGGCTTAAGCCCCTGTGTCTCTTCAAAGCCCATTTCCTCTCCCTGGTGCCTCTCTTTGCCAAACGCATCTACTGCTACCTCCTACACTTCCCCGGGGACCAGACTGGGCCCCTCACGGTGACTGCGGCCTGCCTCCCTCATAAGGTCGCCCACCGAGCTGTCCTATATATAGCGTGACGCCTTTGGTCACTGAAGCACACACAGCAGCACCAGCATTAGCTCTGAGGTTTTTGTTGAAACCTGCTCATTGTTCCACACGGTGCCCTACAAAAAGCAACATCTAGATTATTTCCTGTAACCCTCAGGGCCACACAGAGCATCATCTTGAAATCTCAGATCCCAATTCTACTGTGTACTGAGCATTTGATTTGGGGCAAGTCACTCAACCTCTCTGAGCCCCTTACACTGACTTTTTTCATAGGGGTGTTTTAATTAGAAATTCATGACTTGCACGCTGTTGGTGGGGTACTTGACACAGAGGTGGAGTTGGATAAATGAGTTATTTTTATTAGGAAAAGCTTTCTCTCTCTAGAAGAACCAAGCGTGCTAGCTCCTTTTTGATTGGGAGAGCAATATAATGGACTGTCTGCCTTTTTCCTCACCTGCCAGGAAGCTCAGGGCCAAACCTGAAGCCCAGTCACAGCAGCTGTAGTAATGCTCTGGTTAGCGTGCATGTTTCCTCCTTTCTTAGTACTGGGTTTTCATTTCTGCTTTATAATCTTTATTGCCTCTTGCAGTGAGCCATCTTAAATCCTGTTTGGAAAAAGAGTGTATAGCTATAATCAGTTTTTTTTCCCCCCTCAATGTCTATCCCTCTCCAGGGCCAAGAGCCTGGCTGGCAGAGCTTGGGCGGCTCGGTGTTCCCATCCCCAGAGGAAGCACCATCTGCCACCAGCCCTGGCACGGAGCCCACTGGCACCTCAGAGCCGCTGAGAACAGGCACTGTGTCAGCAGAGCTGTCCAGCCCGTGGGCTGCTGGGGACTCAGAGCGGAGTGAGTGCCTGGCTGTGTGTGTGTGTGTTAGAGGAGAAGTGGGCAGTAGGAGAGGTCAGGGCTTGGATCTGTTCTACTGCCTCTCCATAGGTACTGATGCTCTGACAGACCCAGTCACGGACCCCGGACCTAATCCCTCTTCTGACACAGCCATATGGCACCGCATCTTCCAGTCCTCGTACATCCGGGAGCAGTATGTGCTCACCCACTGCTCTGCCAGCCCAGAGCCGGGCCCAGGCTCCACAGGCAGCAGCGCGTCCCCTGTCTCCCAGGGCCCAGGCTCCCCTGAGGGCAACACTCCCCTGGATCCCCCTTCTCAGCAGGGCTGCCGAAGCCTAGCCTGGGGAGAATCTGCCAGCTCCCGCTCCTGTCCCCTGCCTCCATCCCCACTGGCTCCAGTCAAGGTGAGATTCAATCCACATCCCACCATGTATCCAGCAAATGTTTATTGACCGTTGGCTGTATGCCATAGATTGTGCAGTGGTTACTATTAAGTCTACTTAAAAAAACAGGTAATGATGATACATAATGATGATATCATGCAACACATGCTGACAAGCACAGAAGCATGACATTATGGGGGTTCAAAGTCAAGGTGACTAACCCTGTCTGAGTCAGGAAAGCAAGAGCCTCCTCTGGAAGCATAAGTCAGGCAGGCAGAAAGGGAAAAGACTTGAGTAAAAACATGTCCCATGTCTCAAGTGAGACAGAGTGAGATGACACAGGGAAGGGGGCCAGGGGCCAGAAGGAGCCTGGCCTCACCCCTAAGGGTGGTGAGCAGCCATCTAGGGTTTCAGACAAAAGGGCATGTGGCTAGTCATGTATGTATGTCTGATCAGGCCAGGAGCTCTGCACTGCTTGACCAGTGGACTCCACTTCTCATGTGCAGACTGGGGCTTTGAGTGCTGAGGTGCTGGGCCGTCGACGCAGAGCGGCTCTGGCCGGCCGAAGCCTCTCATCCCCCCAAGGCCGGGTGAACCCAGTCCCTGGCCGCTCCCGGCACCCGTCTCTGGGTGTAGCACCTGATGGGCCAGGCCCTGAGCCAGGGCAGCAGCTGGGACAGGGCCTGGATGACTCAGGTAAGGGTTACGGGGAGCTGGGTTCTGTCACCCAGGTCGCTGTGGGGAGGTGGAGCCCAGGGCACCACATGGCCCCTGCTCCTACCATTGTTTCTCCCCAGGAAACCTGCTCTCCCCAGCCCCCATGGACTGGGACATGTTAATGGAACCGCCCTTCTTGTTCACCGCCGTTCCCCTCAATGGGGAGTTGGCTCCTCCAACAGTAGCACAGCCTCCCCAGGCTCCACGCTGCCATGTGGTGATCCGGGCCTTGTGTGGGGAGCAACCCATGTGCTGGGAGGTGGGTGTTGGGTTGGAGACACTGTGGGGGCCTCAGGATGATGGCTCACTGCCTCCATCACCCCCCGAAAGAGATAATGCTTGGGACCAAGCACTCCATCGACTGACAGCAGCTTCTGTGGTTCGGGACAATGAGCAGCTGGCTCTTCGAAGAGGGGGTGAGACCAGGGCTGACCGGGGTGAGTTCCTGGTGGGCCCAGTCAGGGCTCAAGGAGACCATACGGGGCAGAGAGTGGCAGAGGCATAGGTCTGTGTGATCACTCACTGTACCTCACCTTGCTCACAAATGATTTGAGGCAGCTCACCCACATTATCAAAAAAAAAAAAAAATTAAGCAGGGTAATGGGGGTGGGGCGGGGGGCGGGAAGGGATAATAAAAGGAAACAGAAAATGAAGTTATATTAAAGATGTACACTATGAGGTTATGTACCCTTGCAAGCAGGAGACCCAAAACTGGCCAAGTTTCCTAGCAGCCAACAGAGACAGAATTTCATCTTGTAATGATTCACAGTGCCCATAATATAAAAACAAATCTGTCATTTAGGAAGATTATTTAAGTTAAAATGTCAGTTCTTCAGTTGCACTAGTCACACTTCACATGCTTAGTGGTGACTGTAAGGAATAATACATACTGGATCCCGTGGCTACCACACTGGATCATGCAGACTCAGAATCTTTCCATCATTACAGAAAATTCTACAGGGCAGTGCTGAAATGAGTGGATGGAAAAGGCACCACTCAATGCTTCCTCGGGGTTGTGTCCAGAATGTTGCATTTGTGGGTAGCCAGGGAGCCTAGCCTTGCTATTAATACAAGGTGGTTGAGCATTTAGCCTAACCACTTCTTGTCAAAGTTGAGGAGTCTGAGCTGGCCCTGAGAAGGAACTCCATTCTGTTCAAAAGTGGACAGGGGGCTGGGAATTCCCTGGCGGGCCAGTGGTTAGGACTCCATGCTTTCACTGCCAGGGCAAGGTTTGATCTCTGGTTAGGGAACTAAGTTCCAGAAGCCTCAAGGTGCCAAAAAAAAAAAAGAGGAAGAAACCATGGCATTATGGGAGCAGAGGTTTTTTTTTCGGTGAACCTCTTTGTAGAGAGTGGGTGGTGGGCATGCACCCCCTCCCAGTCCACATGCTGCTGCTTGGTTTCATAGGTCATGCCCGGAGGTCCTGGCTCCGAGCCCTTCAGACAAGTAAGGTCAGCTCTGCCCCTTCTTGTTTCACCTGCCCTGTAGCTGTGGACGCTACCACCAGGGAGGTCCTACCCTCAGCCCTGCAGGTGCGGAGCTCAGGTAAGCAAGGTCTCTCCCAGGTGACCTCCCAGATGCCAGTTCTCACCTCACTGGCCACCCTACCAGATAAACTTCTCCCTACCTCCTGTGCCCTTACAGAGCCAGCTGAACCTGCAGGTACCCCTCCTGTCTCTCAAAGCCATGTAGATGCAGCTCCTTTGCCCACAGTTGTCCACTCTAAAGGTAACACTCAAATTTGAGGAAATGGAGTAGGGAGCAACAGGCTTAGGGACCACCACTGAATGGCTCCAGTCAGGACTGAAGAGGCTCTCTGGCAGGTGGCTGGGACCCGGACCAGACTGGCAACTCCAGTTCTGCTTTGGGGGATCACGCAGCCCCCATAGGAGGGTCTCATCACCCGCTCCCCCGGCCTCCCTCTCGGATCAGCCTGGGCCGTTGGAAGTCCAGGGGCCCAGACAGCCATAGACTCTGCAGCCCCAACACGGGCCCAGTCAATGACAGCAACAGTGAAGGCAGCGGCCACGACTACTTGCCCTTGGTGAGGACTCGGGAGGTGGAGGGTGGCGCCGCCAGGGCCAGGGCACTGTCTCAGCTCGCTTCTCCCCCCACCTCCTCTCTCCTCAGGTGCGCTTGCAGGAGGCGCCCGGCTCCTTCCGCCTGGACGCTCTGTTCTGTGCAGCGGTGCGCATCTCACAGGAGCGCCTGTGCCGCGCCTCGCCTTTCGCCGTGCACCGGGCCAGCCTCAGCCCCACCTCGGCCTCCTCTCCCTGGGCACTTCTAGCCCCCAGTGTTGGCCAGGGTGGCAGCGCCACAGCCTCTTGCAGCCCGTCCCCCAGCTCGGGCTCCGAGGGTCCGGGCCAGGTGGACAGTGGGCGGGGATCAGACACTGAGGCCTCGGAGGGGTCGGAAGGGCCTGGTGGTGCTGACCTGCGGGGCCGGACTTGGGCCACGGCTGTGGCGCTTGCGTGGTTGGAGCACCGCTGTGCGGGGGCCTTTGGTGAGTGGGAACTGGCAGCAGCGAAGGCTGACTGTTGGCTGCGGGCGCAGCACCTGCCCGATGGCCTGGACCTGGCCAACCTCAAGGCTGCAGCCCGCGGTCTCTTCCTGCTGCTGCGTCACTGGGACCAGAACCTGCAGCTCCACCTGCTGTGCTACAGCCCCGCAAACATGTGAGGGTCACCCACTGCTCTGCCTGGCACCCCCCCAACCAACTCAAGGTCACTGCCACCCAGAGCCAGCCTCTAGGTGCTGGGAAGGGGTGGGCTGGCGACAGCCTGTCCCCACTGCTTCTCATTCCCTCCACAGAATCCTCCTGCCCCCACAAAAAGTGCCTGCCTGTGCTCTCTCTCGTCCTTCCCACCCCCTGCCCCTTCCTCTCTGAGCTCTGTGCGGTTGCAGCAGAAGGGGAGAGAGCCACAGCCCCCAGATCCTATGCAATAAAGTGCCTCTTGGGACTGTCTTAATGAGTTCTTTATCTGCCGCGTGCCTGTCCCTCACAGCTCGGTCCAGGCACCTCCACGGAGGCTCCATAGAAGGAGACTTGGTTTATTGGGAAGGGCAGAGTCCATCCCCATCCGGGGTCCCAAGAATGGACTGGCGGAGAACAGGTGGATCTCAGTGGGCTTTCTTGCTGTGCGTGATGGTCTTGTGGAAGGGCTGGGGGCCCAGCCAGAGCTGCAGCAGGATGACTGCATGGCATGCATGCAGGGCAGCAGAGCTGCAAGACGTGGACGGGTATGTGTTCCAAGAGAGCTCGATGAGCCCCAGCACCAGCAGCCTAGAAAGAAGAGAGAAGCTCTGGGTCTCATCCTGTCTCTAGGCCTGCAGCTCTTCAGCTCACCCACTGCCCCTCCGCAGTCATGGCCTCGGGATGAGGAGCTTCCCACCCCTGTCCTCTCCCCCAGGGCTGTCCCAGCCAGTACCTGAGCAAGTGAGTGAGCCAGCGGGCAGGTGTGGCCCACAGGAGGTAGGGCAGTGTGTGGAAATACCAAACGTAGAACTGGTAGTGAAGGGAGCGGCTGAAGCAGATGCCAATGAAGTTGGAAGTGAAGAGGGTAGAAACAATCTGTAGGCAGTGGTCAAGGCCAAGGGCAGGAGCAGAGGGGTAGGGAGATTTCAAAGCAGGGGGGGCAAAAGTTTGGGGGGGTCTAACAGCCCCTGGCTCTGTAGTTCCTAGATACATACTTTTGGGCAGATTTCTGAACCTCTTTGGACCTGTTCCTCAGTCTGTGGAGGCAATAAAATCTAGAGCTGTAAGGCTTAGGGAGCCATCACTCACTAGCTGTGTGACTGGCAAATTACTTAACCTTTTAAAGCCCTAATTTTGTCATCTGTATAATGAGGATAAAACAGACTTTCTTGTGAGCTTTAAACATATGTAAAGCTCTTAGGACAGTGTTAGGCAGAGGGTGCCCCCTCATAATGGTAACTCAATGATATTTAGAATTAAGAATAAAACATACTTAAATATGTAAAGTGCTCAGTACAGTGTTTGGTACAGAGCAGGAGTTCTACGAATGGACCCTGTAGCTATTACTAGAACCTCCTTTCCCTCTCCCAGATCAGCAGCTGTCCAGGGTTGGTTGACCAGGACCCTATCTGCACCTGGAGAGGGCAAGACTTACCTTCCCATGACTTAAAGGATATGGTTGGGTGTGAGGGGCTGGGGTGGAACCTTCCTTTTGGAGGGATCCTTCAGCAGCGACAGGATACCTTCCCCTGTCCTGGGGAGAAACCATTGAGACAACTTATCAAACCCCTACAGTGGGCCACACGGAGCTCAACATGTCCTCAAGCAGCCCCTAAGGCCTAGGCCCTTCAATCTTTCCCCCACATCTGCCCAAGCAACTGCCCTCCTTTCTCACCTGTGCCACCTGCAGAGTGCAAAGAGCAAGAGCATGGTGAGGTGGGCAGTCAAAAGTGCCAGGTGGAAGGCACGATGCAGGAAGAGGGCCTCGGGGAGAAAGCGCCAGTTCACTGTCCAGCGGAAGAGAAACTGGCGGCCAAAGTCAAAGGCGCGGGATAGGTAGCCGACGGGGTTCTCCAGCAGGAAGGGCAGCCCTAGCACCACCTGAGGATGAGTGTGATATCAGCAGAACTGCCCAGGCTCACCCTCAGCCTCATGCTAATCACTGAGGGGAGGGGGGATAGGGTATAGATCCCAGAGGTTCCCTAATTGCCATCAGGAATAGCAAGAAAGCCAGACCACCCACCCAGACCAAAGTCTTGGGCCAAAAAGGCCAAGGAAGAAAGTAATAACAATGCTTTATATTTAAATTCATCTAGCCATAAATGTGCACAGCTAGAACGGTTCTCTGAGACCATCTAGTTCAATACCCTTGTTTTACAGCTCAAGAAACCAAAGTCTAGAGGTGGTGGCTGTCCAGATCAGAATCAACTCCAAAACTCTGTCCCCTGGCTTTGAGGATGTCTCAAAAACGAAAGGAGTTCAGACAGAGTGGCTGCCACTTCATCAGAAAGGGGACAGGGTAAGGAGGGAATACCTGAAGGATAGCACAGATGCCCAGCTTGGGGAAGGCCCCACGGAGGCCAAATTTCGTGAGGAGAAGGAATAGTAATCCAGGGGCGAAGAGCAGTACATTCATCTTCACAGAGACTGCCAGGCTGGAGTGGATAGTGGGGAGGAAGAGTGAAGATCAGTTTCATCAGGGCCATGTACCCCCGACCATCACAACAGCAGCTCCCCGTTCGCTGCCAGCAAGCTCCAGGCAGAGGGTGAGCACTCATACTCAGAACCACTGGAGGGGTTAAGGCAGCCTGGGAGGAGGCTGGGATAGGGAGCTGATACGTTGTCTCTACACTCAGTCTGAGCAGCAAATAATATACTGAGTACTTAGTAAGTGCAACTGACCAACTCCAACCACAGATGTAGCCTGGAGGAAACAGGATAGGAAGAGGGTGGTGTGTGTGTAGGTGCCTGGGTATGGAGACTTTCTACATATGCTGAACTCCTCGCAGGATGCGAGTGCAGCCCTTAACTGACCTACACCGTCTGGCCACTGCCTTACTCCCTCTGCTGCAGAAAACTGGGGAGAAAATGATGGAAACACAGAAAATGAAAGAAGGGTCCACAAGTGAGGGGTGCTGACCTGAAACAGCAGCAGCCCCAGCTCCAGCGCTGGGCCAGTAGGAGGTTGACACTGAGGAAGAGCAGCACCATGGCCACTGGATCATTGAAGAGCCGCAGCACAAAGATGGAGTGGACACGATAAGAGGCACAACACATGAAGAAAAAGACGAAGGGAGGTACCTGAGAGGTGGGCACAGTGGGGGACAAGGTCAGCTCACAAACCCTGAACTGTCCCCACTCCCCAGCCCTCCCAGTTTGGGGGCCCCTGTTCCTGGTGGTGAGAACTCACCTTGCAGGTCTGGTGGTAAATCAAGAAGACAAGCAGCAAAGTGGCCAGGTAGAGCACAGCAAAGATGTGCTGGGCCATGCGGATGTCAGTGCCTCGGTCAGTGGCATAGTAAAGCCCCATAAAGATGTACACGAAGCCAGCTGGGTACCTGGAAGAGAAGGAACATGAGTCCAGGTCAAGCTATTCAGCCTGGCATCCAGTCAGCCCCTCCCATCCTTGCTGAACCTCCGATCCCACTCACACGAGAGGTCCAGTGTCACCTTGCAGTTGAGTGTAGTCATAGGTGCCATTGATGACTCCCTCTACCTCAGCCATGTAGGCTTTCCAATCAATCTCTGTATCTGCAAAAGGACAGGATGGTGTGGTTACTTTGTGGTCCAGAACTGCTCTGCCTCAGTCCATCAATGCACAGAGTTCCAGCTCATTCTTGGGATTTCTATCATAATCCCTTCTTTAACTGATCTATTCTCTGCATGAACCCAAGTATCTTAAAATCAAAACATGTCTGTAATGAAACTCAGAACTTTCCACTCCAAATGTGGTCCCCTTCCTGGGTTCCATGAATGGCACCATTAACCTCTCACTTGTCCAAGTCACAAACCTGGGAAACATCCTTGATACTTCTTTCTCTTTCATTTCCAACCCTCAGTCACCAAGTCCTGCCTATTCTTTATTCTAAATATCTGTCTCATCCTTCTCTGCACAATTTGGGTGTAACAATATCTAGCCTCAATGGTGCAATAGCTCCCTAATTAGGCTCCCAGTTTCCACTTTCACTGCATTACATTTTATTGTCCACCCTGCAACCACAGAGCTCATCCTATAATAGAAACATCACATTTCTCTGCTTAAAACCCTTTAGTGATTCCCCACGGCTCTTAGTTATAAAGACCAAGATTTTTTTTATTATTCCCATTTTTAGAAGAGAAAATTATGAATTAATGAGGTTAAGTAACTAGCTCAAGATCAGTAAGCTAGGAAGGGAAGAGTTGAGATTGGCACACATGGAGCTCTAAATTTTTTTTTTTCTTGAGCTCTAAATTCTTAATCATCATACTATCTCTTTAACACAGGTTAGAGATTCCTTCATGATGTGAAATCTCATCTCTTGGTACTGCCCTCACTTGATTTCTATGTTCCAACTCTAATTATTTCATTTCTTCAAAGGAAGTAGACTTTCTTTTTCAATGGGAGCTCTTTTAAACAGGATTCTCTCCTAGAGAATAATCTGCCCCCCCACCCCTTTCTCTCTTTCCTCAGGGAACTAGCTCTTATTGTTGGAAGAGGACTCTAGGAAACCTTCTCTGACTCCTCAAGTGTGGCTGAAGTGCCCTCCTTTGTCCATTATAGCACTTTGTCTAGTACCATTATGATGAATATAATGTAATATAATTTTCTGCTAACTTTTCTTTGTCCAGGTTCGCATACACAAGTAGGAAGTCTATCTTTTTCACCACACTATACCCTTGGCAGCTAGTATGGTGTTAGCCATATAATAAGCACTCAGTAAATACATACTGAACTAATTGTCTTTAGCAAGTAAGCTTTAAATCCAGTGCTTTCTGCCTGGAGAGGAGTGACTAATAACGCCGAACTGACTGTAACAAAATGCTGTCACAGAGAAAATACTTCGAGACCTCAGAATTCAACAGATGAGGAGACTGAGACCCAGCAAGGGAAGTGACGTGTCCAAAGCCATAGAGAAAAGCAGCAGCAGCCATTAACTTGGACCCAGGTTTTCTGGGGGAGATTAAAATCGCGTTTGGTTTTCTGTGGAGCAGACTTGGGATCTGGGTAAAACATACTGGTCTGCAGTTGATGGCTGAGTGGATCAGGGGTCTAAGTTTGAGCTCCGAATGTGGGTCCCAGTTTTGATTGGGGGTTCGGTCTCCCTCCCCCTCCTCCCCTCCCCCTCGGCGCACTCACATGCCACCCTGTGAATGACCCAGAAGGTGATGCCCACCTCCGCCAGGCAGAGGCAGGCGGCCACCAGCAGCGTGTAGCGCGGTTCCAGCAGCAATAGGCGCCGCTCTTGCCAAGCGCGCCGCAGCCACTGCCCGCACAGTCCTGCCGCCCGGGTTGCGGGACCCGCCCGGCCGCGTTTCCGCAGGCCTGCCGCCATCTTAACGGTGCGCCGCTCTTGTGGGCCCGCTACCCCGGAAGCCCGGCTCCTTGGTACTTAGGTTCCGCTTCCAGCGCCACGTGTCCCAACGGATTGAACGCTGATAGGAGTTGTCTGAGTCCTTGTTTACGCCTCGAAAATTCCCTGCTTTCACATCTGTCTTCCCTGATGGAGTGCACACTCCATACGAGCAGGAATAGTCTTACTCCTCAGTACATACTTAACCCTGGACGCACAGGCGCTAATGTGAATCGAACGTTTGCCTAGAAACGTAACGTTTCTTTCTGCCTGCGCCGTCTCTTCCGCACCTCACCTCCCCTACCCAGCATTAACACTTCGCCTGTGTTGATATCTGCGTTCATGCCCGTGTTTCCTAGAGAGCAAGACCCGTGTCCGCGCTACTCCCGCCACCCCTCAGAGCCCTCTGGGTGCTCAAAACTGGGAAGAAATGAATCTTTTATTAACATTCAGGCTTCTTAATGGAAAGAGCTTGTCAAACTGAAAATGAGGTGGGTAGTGACGACCCGGAATGTGTGACACCATGAGTGTGGCGCTCAGATGTTAGTGAGCAGTGCACCCAGAGAATTCAGCGTATGGACGATACAACTTGCCCACCCGGAAGATTCTTTCTCGAGCGCTTAGCAGAGGACGGAAGTTCCACGTGTTTATGTTGAGCAACTGCAGATGCTGGGCGGAGACACAAAGGCCACGCCTCCCTATGCCACCATTCTCATTGGCTACATTGGAGCACCACGCCCCGCCTAGAGGTGGGGGCCAGTTGCCCTCACTGCCCCGCAGCCACAAGTAATGGCTTGTATGGGGCCTTCCGTACCGGTGCCGGAGTTACCGGAGAAGAACTGCGGGTACCGTGAGGTCCAGTACTGGGACCAGCGATACCAGGGCGCTGCCGACTCTGCCCCCTACGAGTGGTTCGGAGACTTCTCTTCCTTCCGTGACCTCCTAGAGCCGGAGTTGCGGCCGGAGGACCGTATCCTCGTGCTAGGTGGGTAGTTCCGGGGCTGCCCAGTCCAGGTGGAGCTGGTTGGATTGGCCCCGCCCCTCGCTTCTGCCCGCCGCTCTCCGAGAACACCCCAGTCAGAAGTTAGGATCCGGTACTTTTAGAATCTCGGCAGTATTTCTCCAGGGCAAACAGGAGCCAAGAGATTCTTAGTCCCGGGACCTTCAGGGGAAAGACAGTCTCTCTGAGACTGAAGGTGGTAGGTGACCCATGACCCCGTTGCGAACCCTGGGGAGGCCGCCTCAAGCACTGGAGAGTTCAGAGGACCTAGTTCAAGTCCCAGCGCTACTTGACGGTATGATTTAGGACAAATCATAAACTCTGAGCCCCGGATTCATTTCTAGGGACTGAGAATTCAAGTTGGATAAGGCACGTGCATTCACCTTGAGCGGAATGCCTAGCGCTTTTCTGTTTGCGCCACTGGGTCATTGTCTCCTAGAGAGTTCTCTCTTGACTCTCCAAACTAACTGAAATCGGGTCCTCTGTGTCCCGCTCCTCCATTTCCCCGCGCCTTGTGCAGTGAGGATGAGGACAGCGCCCTCTGACGGGAGAGTGCAATCAAGATTGGTGTGTTTCCCCAGAAGGAACGTACTTGGGGGTAGGGCTTCCTTGCTGACTCGGACTAAAGAATCCGCCTGCAATGAGGAAAACCTGGGTTCGATCCCTGGGTTGGGTAGATCCCCTGGAGTACGGCCTGGCAACCCGCTTCAGTGTTCTTGCCTGGAGAATCCTCATGGACAGAGGACCCTGGTGGGCTATAATCCACGGGGTCTTAAAGAGTCGGACACGAATGAGAACAAGGTGGGTCTCTGAGAGATCCACCTAAACCCCAACCTTGGAATTCTCTTCCACTGCCAGCGTTGAGGGCTCCAATGAAGTTTGATTAAGCAACGGATTTCCTCCCAAAATCTTGCTATTTTTAAAAGCATGTGTATGATTAAGTGAAATATTTCACATGGAGACATTTATATGTAAATATATGTAAAGCATAAATAATAACTTGAATGTGTGTATATACCCTATTCAGTTTGATAAGCAGAGCATTTTTCTGACCAGAAAGTGCTTAGGAACTTGGACCCTGGAGGCAGCCAATTATGTAGGGATCTTGGCACATGTAATCTTAGCTGTGGAATCATGGACAAAATCATGGATCATAGCTGTGGACCCTGGACAAAATACTTAAATTTATGTGCCTCCATTTTCTCAGCCTTAAAAAAAAAAGAGTACATACTTATCAGCTTTTCAGATGATTGAGTGGAAAAAAAAAAAAAGATGAGTGAGTGTGAAAGATACCTAGAAAAATGCCCAACAAAATTAAAAGCCTTGTGTATTCAGGGTTTTCTGTGTGGGCCCCTAAAGCTCTTCCCCCTAGAGGTTAAAAACTCTCTTGAATTTTGTGACTTTAAACCATTACATTTATTTATAGATTTAACATAGATCTCTGTTTTTCAAGCTTTAGTGTAATAACCTGGAAAACTGGACCCACCTTGATTTTCTAATTAAAAATTAACCATCTAATTGATGGTCTAAGGCTGGCCCCAGGGGTTTATATTTTCAATAAGCCTGCAGACTGATTCTCATCTGGTGATTGGCAGAGAAACACTGCCTTAAATTCTGCCTGACTAGGAGGTATCCTTTTCTGGATAGAGGAGGGAAATGTCTAAAGATCAAAATAAAAAACTTTCCAGACAGAATTCCCAAGATCTAAGAACAGAACCCACAGCTTAGGGAGTACCCTATGTCACATTTCACCTAAAGAAACACATTGAACACCTGGTAGATGCTAGGGAATGTGGCGGACCTTTCTCATTTATTTAATCCTCATGACACCCCTTAGAAATTAGTGAAAAATATTATGAGACCTATTCTTAGAGTTCAGTAAATTTTTTCTGAAAACTGCCAAATAATATGTTAGGCTTTCCAGGCTATACAGTTGCTGTCCCAACTAGAAAATGTTGATGGCTGCTGTAACAGTATCTTCTGTATGGAGCTACTGGGAAAATAAACTGAGATAATCCTCATAAAGTACTTAGCGTGGGACCCAGTGTTCAAAAACTGTTAGCTATCATTATTATTATTGAAAATGGGAGTCAGAGAGGCACTTTCTCTGGGAATTCTCAGAGAAAGAGGACCTTCCCTGAAGATTTGTGTGTCTAGTCCCTATGGCTAGATTCCACATTGCAGATGAGTTTATGTGGCTGTCCCAGTTTTGCTGTCATTATACTTCTCTGGTTCTCTCTTCTTGCTTGACTCCAAGCTCTGTAGAATCTTCTGATTATATTTTTGTCTTAAGTTTATATTTCCTATAGAGACACAAGGGACTGACCAGAGGATTGACTGTCCAGACCCCGTGATGGTTATTTTTCCTGTTATAAATTAGTGAATTGGTATTCTGGTTTATACTTCAGTCGCTTGGTGTTGGGGATAGCATCCACATAGCTCTGGACTCCCATATGATGCATTCTTGGATCTTGGATCCAGAGCTCTGCTTCCCTGAGGCCCCACCTAGGGAAACAGTGGCTGTTCCAAGCCTCATCTTAGTTGTTAGTCCCAAGTCACTGCTTTGTAGGCATAAAGTGGCTCTGTGGTCAAGTTTTATTTTCCCTCCATCTTTAATAAAGTTGTCTTGGAAGATGCCATTCCTGTACCAAAGGGGACAGCAGAAGGAAATTTGGATCTTTCCACAGTTTGACAGAGCACTGCAGGCATATGGGGTCAGGTGTTGGGTGATGAAGGCATTATGGGTCAGAGAACCTAGTGGGATTTCAACCTGAACTGAGTTAGGGTCTCCTACTCAGTCACCCTCACCTCCTGTCCCAGAGTCTGTTGTGGTTCCAGTGTTGGGAGGCACACATTGGGTTTTCCCAGGCAAGACAGTACTCTTCCTGAGTCCCAGAGTCTGAGGAACACAAGAAGGGCAGCTGAGGACCAGTCAGCAGTCTCTGGCATCTGTCCAGGTGCCAAGCTCTGCCTGCTAGATTAGGGCTATCCCAGCAGCTTATTTTGTGATCCTCTTAGGGAGGCAAATGGGGATTAAAGGCATTCTAATCCCAAGATCTGGGGATCCCCATGTGAGGCCACCAAGAACTGTCATCCAGGCCTGTTCTCGGCTGATACTGACCACAAGAGGGCCTGGAAGAGGCCAATAGATCTTTGAGGAAAGCCACGCCCATTGGGCAGTAGGTCCACATCTACTCCTCTAACCTTCACCCTCCCTCCACCCCTTTGGGACTGCTTCCCAGAAACTTCCCACCGGAGTGTTATGATTCTTCAAGACTTGACTGGTTGTCAAGTGAGCCTATTAGCCCACCCACCTAAGGTGGGGACAGGGACTCTCCCATGTGCTTCTGCAGCTTGTCCGTCTTGAACCACTCATCACATTACGTGGCAGTTGCCTGATTACACATCTGCTGCTCTCATCAGAGCATCAGTTCCTTGATGACAGGGGCTCTGTTCATCAAGAGAACAACAATATGTGGTGCTCAAGTGTACATGAGGGTATTATTGGGTTGACCAAAAAGTTCGTTTGGGTTTTCCTGTAAGATGTTACAGAAAAATCTGAACAAACTTTCTGGCCAGTCTAATACAAGGAGTCATCTCCACTGTGTGTCCCCACTTAGTTTCCCCTCCTACTTGTTAATTCTGCCTTGGAAACCCAAGTAAGATAAAAACCCCTAACATGAAGTCTTCCCACGGTTGATGTCATCAGAGGAGAGATTAGGAATTAGGATAATACTAGTATTATCCTATTAATAATACTACATGCCAGTATCCCCAGGGCTTCCCTGGTAGTTCAGTTGGGAAAAAAATCCACCTGCAATGCAGGAGACCCTGGTTTGATTCCTGGGTCGGGAAGATCCACTGGAGAAGGGATAGGCTACCCACTCCAGTATTCTTGGGCTTCCCTTGTGGCTCAGCTGGTAAAGAATCTGCCTGCAATGCAGGAGACCTGTGTTTGATCCCTGTGTTGGGAAGATCCCCTGGAGAAGGTAAAGGTTACCTACTCCAGTATTCTGGCCTGGAGAATTCCATGGACTGTATAGGCCATGGGGTCGCTAAGTGTCGGACACGACTGAGCGACTTTTATATTATAATATTATCCCCATTCTGAGTCTGAGAAAACTGAGGTTGAGAGTTGAATGACTTACCTATAAGTCTGTAAGACTAGGGATAGCAGACTATTCCTAGTCTGCTGTAAGACTAGGGATAGCAGAACCCAAATCCTTGAACTTTTAAGTTCAGAGCTCCTACTCTTTGGGTGTTTTAGTTGTTAAATTTAGTGCATCACATCCTGTGTGTAGTGTAGGTATTGTTGTCTTCATTTTTCTGGCGAGGAAATCCAAGTTCCTAGTATGTAAAAAACTTGCCTTAGTCCCCACAGCCAGGAATGGTAGAGCCAGGACATGTCCCAGATATGTATGACTCCGGGGCTCATGCTCTTGTACCACGCTGCTTCTCCCTCAGTACAGGAGGCTTTGGGTTTCGAGAAAACAGGCCAAGAGTGGGTGGATAATTGCGGAGGTGAGAACCAAAACTAACCTAGACCTTTTGTCACCCACCCCTTCTCACTCCAGGCTGTGGAAACAGTGCCCTGAGCTATGAGCTATTCCTTGGGGGCTTCCCTGATGTGACCAGTGTGGACTACTCATCAGTAGTGGTGGCTGCCATGAGGGCTCGGTATGCCCACGTGCCCACACTGCGATGGGAGACCATGGATGTGCGGGCACTGGGCTTCACTAGTGGCTCCTTCGACGTGGTGCTTGAGAAGGGCACACTGGATGCCCTGTTGACTGGTGAACAGGATCCCTGGACCGTGTCCTCTGACGGTGTCCACACTGTGGACCAGGTGCTAAATGAGGTGAGGGAGCAACAAGGGAAAGGGCTGATCAAGAACTGGGGAGGGTTTCCCTGGTAGTCCAGTGGTTAAAATTCCTCACTTCCACTGAAGGGGGCACTAGTTTGATCCCTGGTTGGGGAACTAAGATCCCACAGGCCACAAGGCCAAAAATAAATATATATATTTTTAAAGAGCTGGGGATGAAGGATTAAGGTTTTAGGAGACTTGAAGAACTTAGAAGCCAGAAGGAGGCATGGTTTGGAGCAAGTAGTGGGTCACCTTCAGGACTCTGGTTACCTGAAGGAAAAGGATATTAATCTGGGTCAAGATTATAGGGGGCTGGAGTGGCCAGGCTCCCAGAGGTTGAGGACTGGATACTGAGTTGCCACAGAGATGAGGCAGTGGCCAGATCCCAGATAGGGAATGTCAACAGTTGACAGGAATGCAGTGCCCCCTGCATCTGACATCATTTCCTTCCTTCTACATATCTAAGATGTAGCCTGATCCCCGTGGAACAGCCAGAGGCAGAGAGGGAGCCTCACTCTTTTGCCATGGAAAGCCCTGAGCTACTGGATGTAGGGTAGAACCCGAGGTTTCACTGGGAGGGCATCTGGTGCAATACTGACCTTTGAGAACCTGGAGGTGGGCATCTCACCAAAGGCTTCTCTATCTGCTTTGCAGGTGAGCCGAGTGCTGGTCCCTACGGGCCGGTTCATCTCATTGACCTCTGCTGCTCCCCATTTTCGGACAAGGCACTATGCTCAAGCTCATTATGGCTGGTCCTTGAGGCATGCAACCTATGGCAGTGGTTTCCACTTTCATTTCTACCTCATGCAGAAAGGCAAAGAGCTCACTGTGGCCCAGCTGGCCCTTGGGGCGCAGATCCTGTCACCCCCTAGACCTCCCACCCCACCCCGCTTCCTCCAGGACTCAGATCATGAGGACTTCCTCAGTGCCATTCAGCTGTGAGGCCAGAAGCATGGTCCTTCAGTCTCCCTTTCTGCTCCAGGCTCAAGTATTTGGTATTCCTGACTCAGAGTGGTCAAGTCCAAGGTGCTCACACCTCAGGGGCCTCATGCCTAAGACAGAGCTGATGGAAGCAACCCCACATGAAAAAAATACAGGTTCAGACCTCTCTTGGATTCCCCAAATGCTTCCCCCACCACACTGAACCACCAGTGATTCATGTCCAGCACAACCCTTCTGCATGCCAGCCAGACTTGGACACTTACATCCCTGGGGCCTATTACTGACCCCCATCCAACCTAGATTAACTGACAGAAGGCTGCAGACTTTGAATCTAGATTGCTTTTGACCCCAGCTCCAGCCCCAACTCTGGTGACCTATCCTGCTTAGGTTGTATTATTTACCCAAGGAGACCACACTATTATGGTGTTTCCAGGCCAGACTGACCTGCCTATGTTTACTTGGCAACCCTTCTCTGCCAGTAGAGAAGATGCACCGGAGATTTCCAAGCACCTTATTCCCTCCCTAAAAAGAAGTGGAGCCATTTGGGGCTGACTTCTTAGCAAACCAAAGCAGCAGCTACACACACACACAGGGAGGTCTGTGTTTATTCACACACTCCTGGTACAGTGAGGATGGAGGACATTTACAAAGGACACCCCCAGGGGTTGAGAACATCTCCAGGGCCACAGGTGTCATCCAAAGATGCAGTGCAGCCCCGGTTTGGAATCCCAGGGGCAGGACACAAAGGTCCAAGGTAAAATCAGACCTGGGCCCTTGGAAAGTGATACCTTGAGGGGAGGAGGTCTGCCAGAGAGCCGCCTGGAATCAGGCATGGGCAGACTGGTCATGTGGTTGGTTACCATGTTGGGGGCTTGTCCCATCCCAGCCTCAACACCCATCCTTTCTGCCAGGCGCAGAAGAGCGTGGCCGAGACCGTGGCGGGCAGGGCATGAACCATGAGGGGAATTAGTAAACAAAGAGTCGGATATAAAAATACAAATGTGCTGAGGAAGTCCCTTAGAAAGAGGCTGAGGCTGGGGTCACGCCAGACTGGGGTGGGGGTGAGGAGCGGCTGGGCTCAGAGGGGTGGGAAGCTCATGCAAATGCGCAGCCAAACATCCCTGGCCGCGCGCGAGGTCCGACACCGGCAGGCAGTCGGTTTGCAGACCACACCTGCCAGAGAGGGGCGGGGCAGGGGAGCCGTGCGGGAGGGGACGGGCCGGGGGCTGAGGGCCGCGGGTCTCTGTCCGTTCCGGTGTGCGGGGTGGGGCTGCGGCCCGAGGTTCTAAAGTGCAAGAGCGCGGCGGCGGGCTCCGGGCCGGTCCTCGCCGCCGCTACCGCCGCCGCCGTGGTGCTGAAGCGGACAGCTCCGGAGTGCCTGGCGGCGGCGACGGCAGCGACTGCAACCCGAAGGGGGCGCGGCCCTGCAGTCCCCGCCCGCGGGCGCCTGGGCCGGGGCGGGGGGCGACGGCAGCCGCATCGCCGGCCCGCGCTCCTGGCCGCCGCGGGGCTGGGCCCAGAGCCCGCCGCCTGAGCCGGCGCGTCTACACTCCGGACGGCGGCTTCTCCCCCATCCCCTTCAGCACGTCGTCTATCCGGTCATCCTCGATCACCACTGCGCAGGGAGAAAGCGCGTCAGCCGCGCGGCCTCGGGGGGCAGCGGCGAGAATGGGCCCCGGGTCCTCGCTCCCCGTTCAGCTACTGCCCGTGGCTCAGAGACGCCCCTGGGGCCCCCGTGCTACAGTGCCCTCCCCATCTGCTTTTTCTTGCCGATTCAACCCAAGGCCGACCCCCAGCTCCCATAGACCCGTTCCTCTCCTTGCGGAGGAACGCCCCTCTTCCTAAGACTTCAGCGTTCAACCTTCCAGTCCAAATACTCCCGCCGCCTGAGCTCTCCTACTTCCGAGCTGATGGGAAAGCTTTTGCTGATGGGATCCCTCTCTTCCACCCTCCCTTCAACAGGATCCCCTCCTCAACCCGAATCTCCATCTATTCCAGCCCTCTCCCCAATCTAACCTTGTGGTTTCAACCCCTCTTCCGATCCTGGCACCAACAGAGCCCCTTCCCCATGCAAACAACCAGGACAACCGAACCCCCGCCCCCCTGCCCACTCTCCAATCGGCATCCCTCCCCTCGCGAAGATTCTTTCGTAGCATACACCGACTCAGCGTTTGATCCTGTAGAAGCGGCCAGTCGCCCAACGTCCCCACTTCAGGCAGCCCCGAATGCCCTGGTCGGCCCCTCCCCCTCGCCCGTGTGCCAAGGCTCTACTTCCAGAGGTGGCGAGCATCGAATCCGGGGCACTGCGTTCCCAGGAGAGGGGAAGAGGGGGACACAACACTGCAGCAGGGACCACCCTCTACCCGCCCCCCCGCCCCCCAACCGCGGCTGGCTGCGCTGGTCTGCGGCAAGAGCTGAGGGCGCTTGGCGGGGAACTGCAGCCGGGGGGCGCCCAGGGGAGGATTTCTGGGTCAAGCGGCGACTCCGGGTCCCGGCCGTGTACCTCTCTTGGCTCGGCCGATCTGGCCCAGCTTGGGGGGTCGCTTGGCTTGGTTGCCCGCGAAGAAGGAGTTGGTGTCCTGCAGGCGGCAGCTGAAGGAGAGGTCAGAGCCCTCGGGGTCGGCGCCGAAGCGGCCCATCTTGTCCTCGCTGTAGGGCAGGATCTCGGACATGGCGGGCGCGGGATTGCGGCGGGGCGCGGGCGGCGGGCTAGCTGCCGGACCGGCCCTCGCTCAGCAGGGGAGCCGGCGGAAGGATGAAGTCATGCAGCATCCGGGGCTGCGGAGCCAAGCGGGGCCTCCTCCCCCGCGCCTCCGCCTCCCCGGCCGCTGGGCAGGCGGCGGCGGCGGCGGCGGTGGCGGCGGCGGGGACCTGGCGGGGGCGGTGCGCGGGGGGCGGGGGCGGCGGCGAGAGCGGAATGACGATGAGCGCCCGACTGCCGCAGAGCCGGGCGGGCGGGGCGCGGGGGAGGAGGGGCGGCCAGCGGCCAGGGGTGGGAGGCAGGGAGGCGGGCCTGGGGTGCGGGGGCTGGGTGGGGGTGTGTGTGTGTGTGTGCCGGGACCCGAGCGCCTCCAGCTCTCTGCGGAGATGCTGGAGCGAAAATGTGAGGGTCCTGCCATTGGCGGGAATGGCGCCTGGGCGAACCGTACCGGCCACAACTGGTGCAGGATCTGGCGGGGAGAGGCGGGACTGGGGGGAAGGCAGGAGCGACCCCGGCATGCGAGGGGCGGGAGGAGAGTCTTGCACACAAGCTCAGAGATGCTTGCTAGGGGCACTGGGAATTGGGGGGCGGGTCGGGGCCGGAAGCAGGGCCAGCATTCGAAGCGGGGCGGACACCGGAAGCGTGGCGGGGGGAGAGTCGGATACGCCGGGAGGTGTGCGAGAACCCGCAAGACGCAGGAATAGCTCAGGCCAATGGGTGGTGTCCCCACCTTTGGCGCGCTCTCGTGTGGGATTGCTCTTCGGGTCTGAAACAGATCATCTGGAGTCTGTTTCTGTGGCCGCCTTCTGTTTCTGTCTGTGCCTATTTATTTGTCAGTCTATCTCGACGTGTCTGTGTCTCTGCCTCGGTGCCCCATTTCTTTTTGCGTCATAGTCTCTGTCTACGTCTCTCTTTTTTAAATTTTAAACTATACTAGTTTGAGAAAGACCTTTGCTTTACACAGCAGTAAAAATTATGCATTGTACATTGCATGAGTGTGTGACAAACTCTTTGCGACATCATTGACTACTGTAGCCTGCCACGCTCAGTCCTTGTAATTTTACAGGCAAGAATACTGCAGTGGGTTGCCATTTCCTACTCCAGGTGTCTACGTCTATCTCTTTGTCTCTGTTCCTCAGTATCCATGCTTGGGCTCTTGTGTGCCCTGGTGGTACTTGGGGACCTCAGGAGCTGGGAGAACCGCAGGGCGCGGCGGGCGCTTTGAGCCCGAGTTTCGGCGCCAGCATCAGGCCTGGGGTTGCAGGTCTGCCTTGGTTAGCGCGTGTCGGCCCAGTTACCGAGACTTCTCCAAGGAGAGAGCCGAGATTAGTGCCGAAACTCGGGCTCAAAG